CCCCAAAACCCCAAAACCCCAAAACCCCGTACTCTCTAATTGGCAAGAATATTTATTTATTGGAAATTAACTTATATATTAAAAAATAAATTATTAATGTAGGGAAATACTGGACCTCACATTTAGGTCAGGATGTAATGCTCATTATTCATGTCTAAATTCCAAATTGATAAGAGCTTCTACTGTCCTGAACTATTTTTTTTCTTTTGGGTTAGACTTAGAACCATTTTCATTGAAAAGGCGGAATATATAGAGCATGCAAATTAACTAAATTCTAATGAAAATAAGAGCGGTAAAAGATTCAAACAGGATTTATGTTAATACTATTAGCATCTTAACAAAGAGCAATTATCCGAAGAATTTAAGCATTCTAGTAAATCTTTTGTACGGGTTTTGAATCTATACAAGGAAATTCTAAATTTTGATCCTTTTGCAGATTTGAAAGATATTGTTTGGAGCGATTTAAGGATTAGCTCAAAGTTTTATAAGAATGCAGTAAAGCTAGCATACAAAGCAAACTTTAAAAATTATCCTTATACTAACAATTAATAATTGATTGCCTAGATCTTTTGGAATGTAACATTGATAGCGAGAGGTCAATTCACTAATGCAGAGAGATTGCAGTCTAGATTAATGTGCTTTTAAGAAGCATATATATTTGATAAGAACTCTTTTCATAGTAATAATAAACCTATCATTCTAGGATTTTAAGTGATGCCTTAAAGATACCCAATATTTGATGGAGACAAAAAGCTACAAGGATTTACGTTTAAGTAGCACATCGAATTGCTACCTCACCCAAGATGGAGAGACAGATACAAGTTTATTCAAAGTCTTAATGATTATATCAAGCAAAGATATGAAAATGATCATGACCATTTCAGATGCTTCAATATCAACTATGTTTTATCCCATCTCCCACTTGATAAAAGAAAACAAACTGCGTTTTATAGTGAGTAAGCTATATTCGATTTGAAATACGATAAAACTTTTAATGAAATGATATATCATCCCAAGAAGTTCTAACCTCAACTACTTCATGAAAAATTTGCTAAGAAATACAAGAAATAAGCTGATGGTACGTACTTTTACGAGAAAGAATTCGAAATGATAGAGGATAAATTCCAAAAAGCCGACAGCTTTCTGGTTGAAACTGTTTCTGACGAAAAAGGAGCTGAATAACTTTTAAGACTCATTAAGTCAATACCTTAGCTTAAATTCAAACTTACAATAGAGTAAGAGAAAATGATAAGCACTCCTAATAATTTACTATGTCTTGGGAGATCTGGAACTGGTAAAACAACATCTTCAGCTCTGAGACTTTTCTCAACTGATGTATTCTTTAAGTACATGGACAATCTTAGAAAATTTAAGGCAGATAATCCTGATAAGCTTAACCAGCACTTTTAAGTAGATCCTTACTTCCTCAACAAACCTACTTCGTTAAAGCTGGTATTTGTGACTTTTTCTCCAGTCTTGACAAATGAAGTAAAGAAATTTTATGAAGATACCAAGCAGCATTTCATTCAGCAGTTAATCATCAGAAGGGAAAAGCTTCTTAAAAAAGAAATGATGATGCAGGAGGAAAGAAAGGATTATGAAGTTATTGATGATTATAGTGAAAATGAAGAGGAGGAAATCCTCGGAGGAGACTCTACTCAGGCTGACTAAAATGATCTTCATACCTACTTGAAATTAGAGTAAGACATTTTTCAAGATGAAGACTAACTTGAGAAACAATTAAAGCTGCCCTCTTCTATGGATAGTCTTAGTGCAGACCATTTCCCTCTATTTGCTACTGTCAGAAGATTAATTTATATGATTGATGCAAGCTTGCAGAGCTCCTTTTTTTCTCGAAATAGTGAGGGTGGAATTGTAGGAATGGACTCAGGAGTTGAATGGCACAATGAGAATAGAGGAGTCTTTATGATAAACTAGTATTTCAAATCTCAACATAGTTATGATGAAAAGATCAAGAAGCTTGGTGCTAAACTTATGAAGTTAGATGAGGAACTTGAGATTGATGATCTTGTAGATATTGATGACCATCAATTGGACGATTATTATGATCAACAAAATGTAAAAGCCCAAGAAAATATGGCTTCTTTTAATGTCTCAGGGGGTTTGGCTAACTAAATCGGTAATAATGATGGTTATATGGCTTAATGTAATCTTACTGGAAGAACTTTGAGTTTTGAAGTTGACTTTGAAACATTTAAAAACAGATTTTGGCCTAAGGTCGCCAACTGGACTAAACTTACACCCTTGGTTGTGTGGACTGAAATTTTTTCAGTCATCAAAGGAGGAGCATAAAGCCATTGCTTTGAGAATCAAGTATATCCTTTTATACTCTATATTGGTGACGGGGCTAGATCCACAAGAAAATTAGATGCAGCAAAGTTCCTAACATTACAAGAAAAGGTGATGATCTACTAGATCTTTATGCATTATGAAAAGTGGAAGGATAGTATGATGGCTTATGATTTTAATGATGTCGTTAATCATATCATAGTCTAAACTAAATAAGGCCTTAGGCCTTAATAGCAGATTCACTTCCTTATGGTTGATGAAGTCTAGGATTTAACACCAAATATCTTATTTCTTTTAACAAGCATTACTGAAAAGAACATATTCTTTTGTGGAGATACCGCCTAGACAATAGCAAAAGGAGTGGGTTTTAGATTTTACAATCTCAAAACAGTATTTTAAAGTACTCAATATTTCAGTGCGCCATCAGTTCTCTAGTTAGTAAAAAATTTCAGATCTCACAGTAGGATTCTTGATTTGGCTAATTCTGTTGTTTCACTGATAGAACTGATATTCCCAAAGACCATTGATAAGCTAATGAAAGAATCTTCAGATATGGATGGACCTAAACCAATTTTCATTGATCCTGCTCAATCTGATGAATAACTTGAAAGTTTACTTTTTTCAAAATCATTTGCTAGCTAATCTTCTGAATCCGTGGGCAATGGACCTTAGTTTGGATGTAATCAAGTAATAATTGTTAGAGATTAAGAAAGCAAGCATAATTTACCTGAATTCTTAAAATCTATGCTATGTTTAACTGTGTATGAGGCTAAAGGACTGGAGTTTGATGATGTAATCTTATTTAATTTCTTTGAAGACAGCAAATGTGGAAATTAATGGATATTGATGAAGGATATTGACTATTCATAAAGAGTAATTAAAAAGCTATTTAAAGATTTTGATTTCCTCAACTTTGACAAATTAGGTATAAATATAAAATTTGACCATTAATTTAATCATAGATATTGAAGAGAAAGAGGCATTAGAAGATACTAATTTTGATCCAGAGGAGAGAAACAAGATCAAGACATTCATTATTAATGATGACGAAGAAATAGAAACTGAACTTATTTTAAAAAGAGAAAGGGGTCAAGTTTACAGATAGTATGCTCAGTTATGTACAGAACTTAAATTCTTATATGTAGCAATTACCAGACCTAAAAAAGTACTTATCATCTACGACTCTGACAATTCATTGAGAAAACCCCTTCAGGATTTTTGGGCCAGATAAGGTTTGATAAGTGTTGTTAACAAGGAGATGCTTTTTAATCATTCAATAATTCCTTAGGAAGTTTAGTAAACACTTAGATCTGGAATTTCAAGCAAGAAAGCTACTGAAGATGAATGGAAAATTCAGGGTATTTTGCTATTCAAGAAAAAGTTCTATCATTCTGCTATATAATGCTTCAAAAACGCTAACGATAAGGACCTTGAGATAAGATGTATAGCTTATTAGCATGCAGATAAAGCACAAGCACTATTAGGGGAGGTAGAGTCTAAGCAAGTTCAATCAAGAAATAAAATCTATAAGAAAAGTGAGAGAAATCAAATGAAAAGAGAGATAAAGGATATGAAAAATGATGCTAATAAAGAATTAGAATTAGCTGGTTCTTATTTCGAATAAATCGGAATGCATCGACATGCAGCTTAATGTTTTTGTTCTGCTTAAAAGTTAGATAGAGCTGCAGCAATGTTTGAAAGCCTAGTCAATTATGGGTAGTCAGCTGAATGCTACTTAAAAACTGGGAACTACAGAAAAGCAGCAGATTTTTATGCTAAAGCAGGATTATTTGCTAATGCTTTCGAATGTTATGAAAGATTGTAAGATTGGGAAGGTCTCTTGTTATGTCTAAGCTAAAATAAATTATTCTTCAAAAAAGAAGAAAGAGAATCTCTAATTGAAAAATATTTCCCGATTGCACTCAACTAGTTGTATCACATTTATTCCTAATTAGATCCATCATTGTAAGGTATAGGAATGGATGAAGAAAATAAGGGAAAGCTTTAAGAAATGAGAATCAAATTAAAGTTTATGAAGAGCATCAGCATCATTCGAGAAGATCAATAAGAATATGAAGAAAGTGATTCAGAGGAGGAAGAAAAAGGAATAGAATAAGAATTATAAGACTAAGAAAATTAAATAGAAAATAGCGATCAAGAGATTAAACCAATGCTTACTACTTAATTTAAGGAGGAAACAAAGTAGTTAGAAGAGTCTTAATCATTTGAGATAATTGATACCACTACTAATAAGGGTAATCTTAATGAGACTGAATCAATTTACATTATTGATGACGAAAATGATGAAAATAAATAATAATTGTAGAATGAAGTAGAAAATGAATAAGAGGAACAAAAAATTGATGGAGAGATTTAAAAAATTGATTTGGATAGTCAGAATAATTAATTTGAAGTCCTATCTTGTCTTGATCCAGATGATGAATTTTTACAATCAGGCAGGAGTGTTTCACTTATAGAATCGCTGGTTTCAAAAGCATCAGATTCTTTTAGTGTAATAAGCTCGCATTCATCAGCGTATTCTTTGATTGGAAAATCCAAGATTCACTCATTGGTAATGAGTATATATTCAGAATAAACCTCAATGGCTGTAGAATAGATGAGACACTCAAAAGTTCAAGATAGAGCAGATTAAACTCTAGATTTAATATCAAATATTTCAAGTATCTCTGGTTAGAACTCAGCCATAAGCCTTATGAATCAATCAAGATTCTCTGCTATTGAAAACGAAAGAGATACTTATGCAGAGGATATAGTTATGTAAAAAATTATTTACTATGTCTCCTTGTTCTCTGATGATGTTAAAAGCAGATTAAATGAAATGCGCTCTAAAGACACTTTAGGCCATCTATAAATATAGTAAGATCCTAATGATGGATTTGACAATTAGTTCATGTATATTGATCTAGACGATATTTCATAGGAGCTTTTACACTTGATTTTAGATACTTTAGAGCATTATGAGCTATTCAGATTATGCCTTATTATTTGTAACAGATACCAACTTAAAGATAAAGTAGCAAGATATTTGATATCAATTGGCAATAAATACTCAAATCTTAAAAACTTTAAACAAAACTTCTTCACAAAACTTAAGAAAAATAACGACGTAAAGGCTTAATAAATATACTCAGTTATTGCTCATGAGGCTATTCATAATGTTCTATAATTAGTGGAAAAGGATTTCTTGAAATTAGATGAGCAAGGCAAGGATACTATTAATATCAAGGATAATTGCTTTGATAATCTTTTTATCTAAGGATTTTGGAGAAAACTTGTGTTCCTAATGGATACAGAATCTTCACTTTAATTATGTAAATCAATGGGAGATAGAGAATCATTCAAGCTATTGTATCTTATTTATAGATGTAGCATTAAAGACCCCATTTTAATAAGAAGTGCATTATCAGGTTCCTCATATGAATTTGAATAGTATATAAAGCAAGATGTTAATTAATAGACCCAAATATTAGCAGGTGAGGTTCTTGTATAAGATGAAATAGAAACGTTCAGAGAGATATTTAGTAATTATTGCAATAAAAAAACAGTTTACTAAGATAATTCTGAATAAACTTCAATGAATAACTATCTTTCAAGATAAAGATAATTAATTTCGATCAAGAGTTAGGATGATGTTAGAATAAAGAAAGGAAATTATTTGTATATTAAAAGAATAGTTGCATTATTATACTCTCTGGCTCAACAATTCTAATAAGGCTAACATCAGAATTTATCTTTCTTTTTATACTCAATCAATAAAAAGAGCATGAGTGAGATTATGCTCCTAATTATAAGGACTCTAAAGATCTTGATTTATAATAAACCTTTTATCGAGCTTGAAAATAAGAAAAATCATTACAAAAAGCAGGATTCTTTATACAAAATATCTGAGGAGATAAAAAGAGTAATACTGTTGCCTTATAAAGTATATTTATTGGATGGGCTAGAAATTTTTGAAAAATTAAGTGATCAGTATTGTATAGTTCATTCTAGTTCCTCTATCCTAAAATAAATTTAAGACAAACATTCTGATACTTTTGATTTCTTCAAAAATGGAGCCTACTTTGAAATTTATAAAAAGTTGAGAGAATAATATTAATAAATCCATCTTATTAATTCAATGAAGCAGGCTATAGAAAAAATAGAGAAAAGCTTCGATAATAATACAGATCTGAAAAAACTAAATTTACCTTTTCCTTGCGACCTCAATGGATTTGAATATTTTTTGGTACCAAAATAGTGGGTTTTTGATATAGTTTTTGTAAATTCAGTTTGCTTTGTAAAGTTCTTATTGAAAAATAGTGAAACTTAACAATTTACCTAGTAAGAAAAAATAAAAAGAGTCAGTATCATGAAAAGATTGTAGAAATTAGCTAAATCAAATCTTAATAATATTTAATCTGGATATTTAGAGCGATAAAATGTAGTAAACCGAATATAACTATTAGTAATTCCAATTTGTAGGCAATTCTTTAAAGTCATACACGATGATAAAATTCCAGGACTGATAGAGTAGACTATAAGTCAAATTCAAACCATGATTGAAGAGGTGAATGATAGCATTCTAGAGAGGAATAAAGCTATCATTTCAAAGTATCAATATATAACAAGATTACCTCACAATATCATTATTAAGACTAAAAATTTAAAAGAAAAATCTGATCCAGAAGAAACATTCAATAAAAACTAGATTATATCTTTCGCGTTCTAATCACTTAGAGAGGCCTTTGGAGGAGTGAACAAAAAGGATAAATTTTACACAAAGGCATTGAATGCTTTCAAAATGTTTGCATTAGCTGATGAATACATATTAATGATGGAGTATCTGAGAGGCAGAAAGAAGAGAGCATTAAGGTCTGAAAAAAATATAATAGCCAAAAATAACATCTTAAATGGAATCAAGCATGTTTATGATTTATTAGACGCTCATGTTTACATCAAGAATAACTTATGGGTGCAAGGAGTAAATTACATCTATTCATTCCTCAATAGCTGCTTCGATCATTTGAAATTTACTCAGATTATTTACCTAATTGAGGGAGGCTTCTACAGATCTCTATTCAGCTATTACATATTCAGAAATAAAATGAAGGATGGAGTTCTTATACCAGATTACGCTATGCATCATATTGAACCAGAATCAAATTATCAATGCTAACCGCTAAACTAGACTAAGTCTTTATTTGAGATTCTAAACATTGAATACTTTGAGATAAAAATTGAAAAAGCAAACGATATTAAAATGATTAATGAGGCATTGTATTGGTGCGAAATATTACTCAAAGTTCTTAATCAGGACATAGAGTAATTGCTTTATGAGAGTATTTATCATAGAGTGTATAATATTATGATTTCACTAATGGTCAACATAACATCCAAGGAATTGCAATAAGAGTAGAAGTTGCAAGAATACATTATTGATATCGCCAGTGGTTTACTCAATAGCAGCATTGATAAAAGATTTCCTGAATGCAGAGCAATGCTTCAATACAAAAGAATTCACGAGTATCTAGAAAATTAAGTGCATACAACTTCAGACAAGAGATTGTTTACCTTGCTGAAATTCAAGCAAGAAAAAAATATTAAAATTAAAGAGCATGGGGGTTTTGTCAGGCTTACTAAGGGGATGGAGTACGATAAAGAAATTTAGACTTAGCTAAACAAATAAATGGATAAAGCTTACTATGTAGAGATGAGTATCATGGCAAAGCACTATGCAGCTGCAAACTACATTTGCAGAATTTACAGAGAAATAAAATAGAAGAGGACACTGAATAAATAGTTAGAAGGTGAAAAATAAGAGAGTGAAGTGAAGAAAGTGTTTACAAATCAATATAGTTAGTACCTTCAGGTGGTAGATAAATTCTCAAAAGGCCTTCGCAGAGTTTACATAGATGAAGTAAAGGAAAATATTGTGGCTACACTAGATAGCTTTGGCTCCTTAAAAAGATAGCTGATTCAACTAAGTGTCTCTAAGATTGTACACAACTCTTTAGATTTACACTACCTTAAGAAACAAATTGACCTTTTGCATAATAGGTAGCTAGAATTAACTAGAGCCATGAAGCTGGCTTTCACATCTCATAATAATGTTGAGATTATGATGAAAGTCAGTAATTTGTGTGTTGGCTTTAAAGAATTTATTGCTGTTGAAACAAAAAGTATTGCTGATTGGGTAACATAGAAAGCAGAGCCAAACATAATTGAGCTTGAGAAGAAACAGCTCAACATAAGAAATAAATGGGAGACTTTGGTTTAGTTCTAGAAAAGAAAGAGGACTCTACTCAAGCATTTAACAAGAAAAAATAAGCTTTGATTAATAAGGCTTTTAACAATATTTGATTATTATATTCAAATTATTTTAACCTTTCAATTTGAGATTGGATATGATCAAGGGGTTTTGGGGTTTTGGGGTTTTGGGG